AACTGGGGGGGGGGGGACCACAGTTCTTCGATTCACTTTTACATTTATGAGAATATTTTGTAATGTCTCATTGTTTCCCAATGTCTAAGAAAAGTTCAAGGTTCATTGGAAACTACTTTTTATTTATTTATTGTAGTGGAGGAGGGTGAAGAGAGTCTGGACGGGTATCATGAAAACTGATTCACAAAATACAATTTGTTTGTGTAGGTTGTCAGCATCAGAGACTTTGAGAGAAAGAACCATTCATCTATCAGGGAATTTGTGTTGTTAGGCTTAACAAGTTCTCCTGAAATACAGACACTTTTATTCTGGTCCTTCATATTTAGCTACGTTATAGCTCTAGTGGGTAACTTCCTCCTTATTTCTATCATATGGACTTCGAAGAAACTTCACACTCCAATGTATTTCCTCCTTGTCAATCTGTCCTTGGTGAATGTGCTCTCCATCTCAACCACAACTCCCAAATTGCTACTGACACTTTTGTCATATGAAAGCACCATCTCATTTTATGGCTGCATCACACAGGTCTTTTTTTTTATATTGTTCATGGTGACAGAACTTCTGCTGCTGACAAGCATGGCTTTTGACCGCTACGTTGCTATCTGTTACCCTCTGCAGTATACTCTTATCATGAGAAAGGAAATTTGCGCTGCTATAGCTGTTGGAGCATGGGCTTCAGGACTGATCAATTCTTCAGTTCACTCCGGACTTGTCCTACAACTATCCTTCTGCGAATCCAATATTATCAATCATTTCTTCTGTGATCTGCCTCCACTTTTTAAGCTCTCATGCTCAGACACCAGCTTGAATGAAACTATGGCTTCTGTGGCAGATATAATTTTTGCTGTTTTTGGTTGCGGACTGACTCTAACATCATATGGATTTATTATAAGGACCATCTTCAGAATCCGTTCCACCAAAGGGAAGAAGAAAGCATTCTCCACATGTTCCTCCCATCTTATTGTGGTTACTTTTTTCTTTTCTTCAGTCATCTACACATATATCAGGCCCACTTCAGTCTTTTCTTTGAACAGAGACAAATACATTTCTCTCCTTTATTCAGTGGTAACCCCTGTTATTAATCCAGTCATATATTCACTAAGAAACAAAGAAGTAAAAGAAGCTCTCAATGCCTTTATTGGAGGAGGTAGATTGTTTCCAAGAGTTCCACATTAATATCTATAAAAACTACAGTTTGGTGGGTGGAGAGAGAAGATGGATTGAAAAATATTTGGCAGGAACAAGCATACATTTGAACATTTGTGAGAACATTTGCAGTATATAATGTTATATTATACAGTATAAAATATAGTAGTCAATTTTGTGGAACAATCCAAAGAGGCCTTGCTTGGACCTACTATAAATTATAATATTGTGACTAAGCAAAAACTAATTAAGGTTACCATGTAACCACATTTTTTCTCCCAGGTGACACTTCTGAATGTTCCCATGTTCCTTCCCCATTCCTCCAAATTTTCTCTTTTCTTTTATTCTTCGCCCATTAAGAGCGACTAATCTATACGATTTTATTCTTCCTGGGCCACGTTGTGAAAATGGCCAGCAATTCATTGGAGGAATCACAATGATAAACCAGTGGTGATGATTATGATATGGATTATACTTTAATTAGTGCCATTTATGCAAATAATACTTTACAAAGAATAAGTGCTTGTTACCTAAATGACTTAGATAATCAAAATACAAACTGAAGGACATCAGATGAAGGGGAACAGAAATGGAGGCAGGTAAGTAAATATACTTTTTTTTTTCAGTTACAAATTCTCAGGTCTAATTAAAATAATGTAATGGACTATCTGATCTGCTTGTCAAATCAAAGG